CACAACACGCCGTCGCGCTAACGCAACTTTGCATAACATGCCGTCGCGCTAACACACAACACGCCGTCGCGCCAACGCTACTTTGCACAACAGGCCTTCGCGCTAACACACAACACGCCGTCGTGCTAACATAACTTTGCACAACGCGCCGTCGCGCTAACATAACTTTGAACAACGCGCCGTCGCGCTAACACACAACACGCCGTCGCGCTAACATGACTTTGCACAACACGCTGTCGCGCTAACACACAACGCGCCGTCACGCTTACGCACAACACGCCGACGCGCTACCACAACTTTGCACAACACGCCGTCGCGCTAACGCAACTTTGCAAGTTTCACAGTCTAGTAGGAAGTCGTGTCCGGAAATATAAGACTGCGCATGCTTAACCATATAATGGATGAAATTCTGGATGAGATTGGTCTTGGGAATCTTAAAGGTACGGAAGCGTATTAGGGCCGCAGCAGTATTTCTTCTAATTTGTTATAACAAATTATTAATTGGTTATAACAAATTATTAATTTGTTATAACAAATTATTAATTGGTTATAACAAATTATTAATTTGTTATAACAAATTATTAATTTGTTATAACAAATTATTAATTGGTTATAACAAATTACTAATTTGTTTAAACAAATTGATAATCTGTTTTAACAAATTACTAATTTGTTTTAACAAATTACTAATCTATTTTAACAAATTACTTATTTGTTTTAACAAATTACTAATCTATTTTAACAAATTACTAATTTGTTTTAACAAATTACTAATCTATTTTAACAAAATGATAATTTGTTTTAATAAATTAATAACTTGTTATAACAAATTAATAATTTGTTATAACAAATTAATAAAAAAAAATACTGCTGCAGTCCAAATACGCTACCTTAGCATGCGCAGTCTTATATTTCCGTACGACTTCCTACTAGACTGTGAAACTTGCAAAGTTGCGTTAGCGCGACGGCGTGTTGTGCAAAGTTGTGTTAGCGCGACGGCGTGTTGTGCGTTAGCGTGACGGCGTATTGTCTGTTTGCGCGACGGTGTGTTGTGCAAAGTTGTGTTAGCGCGACGGCGCGTTGTGCAAAGTTGCGTTAGCGCGACGGTGCGTTTATCTGAATAGCGATGTCGCGCTAACGCAAATGGCCCTATCCGGACACCATAATTAGGTCCCTAACTGGCTGTGTAACTAATAGGATACGGTGTGTTGTTTAAGAGAATGAGATAAAAATTTTTAGATGGAATTTCTGAAGCATCAGAAGGAGGTTAAATGGACAATTTTTTTTTTAATTTTCCATGGAAATTAGCATTGTTATTCATACAATAAAACAATCCAAGGAAAAGGTGCGAAGATAGCTTACTACTGACATTTGGCGCAAAAAGAGGATACTAAAAGAAAAGCAGAAAAAAGGATACATAGACATGTTGAAACAATGATTCGCATGGAATAATCTGTTCCATGCAAAAAGAGTAAAGGAAGTAAACACTACAGTATTTTTTGCATCAGTAATATGATTCTATTTTCTGAAAACTGTTTCTTTTAAAATACCGGTAAAAAAATTCCAAGGTAAATCAGCTTGCACAAAATCTAGCTCTCTAGGTATGATCACATAGTTTCGGATCATGGAAATATTAATCCTTATCAATCGGCAATCCTCGGCAGACTCCGCTACGCTCCATTCAAACCTCGGATGTGTTAGGTGGAAGAATGCACATAAGACTGATACATTTCTCCGACGGAAACTGCCTTGTCACTCATATCATATTTAGCTCTGCATAAAGCTCTTCAAAAAGGTTTCTTAGTTTGTCTAATTCTTCAATATACCCCCGCTTGAAAAGCGGGAGGGTATATAGTAATCGGTATGCCCCCGTCTGTTACGCTTTGGAATACCCATCTCTTATTCGCAACTCCTCTCATACCACCGAATGTAATTTGATGAAACTTCACAGAATCTTTATTACATAATGCCATTGTGACCTCCCATTTTTACTTTTTAATCCGACACATATTTTGGGGTTCCCACAGCAAAACATGGACACTGCCATAATATTCATATGGGAGGCGGGAATATCATTTAAATAATGAGCTCATTTCTCACAGTACCTCAAGTTATATATTGCTTTTAATTACAACCATATATTATTTGTCAAACATACTAGTGTTGGGCGTGCCACAAAATAACACGGATTTCAAAAATATAACATTTAATGAAATTAGAATGAAATTCAAGTAAGATCAAATGACTGAATCAGTTAAATGGTAGAACTGACAGCTTTGACGTCTGAGGTAAGTGTGTGAGGTACGAGCCACCCGAGGAGCTCCGAGTGAATCCTTATACAGCAGATTTACTGTGAGTAATGAGTTCACTAAATGATACCTACCCCGCCTCCCATATGAATGTAATGGCAGTGTCCATGTTGTGCTATGGTGTAAGAGGAGTTGCGGATAAGAGATGGGTACCCAAAAGCGCAACAGACGGACGGGCATCCAGATTACTATATATACCCTCCCACTGTTCAAGCAGGTGGTATAATAATTCATCCTAAGAAAAGGGGTCCAGACCATAGTTATGACATTTCATCCTTTAATACAATCTTGGTGGCCTTAGAATAATAAATATATATTATTGAGTTTGATCTGACGATCCGTGCCTGTCAACGAGACGTGATACGGCTCTTCGGATCAAGTTCCAGTTATAATGATAAATTTATTATATACCCCCTTATAACTAGCAAAATATAGCAAAACAAAACTTAAGAGATCAATTGTATAATATTTATCCATAAAACAACGCATAATAAAAAGGGACTTTTTAATGTGCAAGAAAAATAACGTCATGTTTCTGCACACTACGTCAACAGTTTCAGAGAGTGGTGAAATGGATTCAGAAAACCACAGTGTGGTGATCCGGAAAGTCGGATCACGACATCACGTCACAGCGTAAAATCAACAGTAAGATTGAGTAATACACGTTAGGTTTATAATAAATAAATTTAAAGTATACATTTTGTAGCAGTGACCTATAAATTAGATGATGGAGTCTATGAATCGATTTTAAAGAAAAGTTAAGGTGTGTTTGTGAAACACTAAAATCTGCGTATGACAGCTTTTGGCGAAGGTTAAAGTTTTAAATGCAATTCAAACCCCCAAGGTCAAGGTCAAGAAATGAAACATGTTATGAGTCAAAGAAAGGACTTACCTCGACAAGACGAATACACCTGTAAAATATGAAAGCCCAAGTACTCACCATTCAAAATTTAAGGTCAAAATTGATGGTATCCAAAGGAAGCCCTTGTTACAAAAAAAAAATTAAAAATGATGGTCTTAGTATTTACTGTTCAAAAGTTATGGCCAAAGTTAATTTTTTATTTATAAGTGGGTGAAATTCAAAGGTTAAAATATTTATATATACATTTATATCCATGGTAAGATGTTATGAAAATGAATTAAATTGTGATCTTTGAAAGCCCTGGCACCAACAGTTCAAAAGATAAGGGCAAGGTTAATGTTAGGTAAATTCTGAGTGGGTCCAACTCCAAGGTCAAGAGGTCAAATATGCCCAAAGAAAGGCCTCACCACAAGGACTTTACAACTGAAACATGAAATCAATAGCTCCAAACAATCAAATATTATTAGCAATGTTAATGTTTTTGCGGAAAGACAAAGATATGGCAAAAACTATATGCCCCGAATTTTCGATTACGAGAGCATAAAACGTTTGAAAACAAGTAGGCACTAATGCGTTCTTCCTCTGGTCGACTCATGTTCTCGTGAAGCAGAATTAAAAGTATTGGCAAAGGATAATTTTAAGATTTTCAAAAATAAGTCAATCTTCAAAACTTGAAAAACGATCAAAACAGTTATTCAGGAAAGGTCTTATCACAAGGAATATACCTGTGAAATGAGAAAGCCCGGCTCGTTTTCATTGTTCAAAATTTCAAACAAAGACTTATAAAACGTTTTAAAAATTGATCAAGGTCCATAAGGTCAAGATGTTTGGAAAGTCTTGTCACAATAAATACACATGTGAAGTATGAAAGCTCTTGCACCAACGGTACAAAAGTTATGATATGCAATGTAAGATATTTTGCATGAGTGGGTCAAACTCCAGGTTCAGTACCAAATTAAGACAATTTCCACCGTAGTTTGGACTTTTAGTAAGGCGTGGCATTCTCGACGTTACATAGTAAGCTTCTGAAATTCACACAGCTTTCCTTCACTGTTGAAATTCTCATGGGTTAGAAATTTGGGTAAATGCCAATTAGTGTATCGAATAACCAATAACATCGCTTCTCCGGCAAAGAGGTGGAGCTTCAGTCGTCTCATCGTTGTCAACAACAATTTAAAGTTCCTGATGTTATTAATTTCTTAACCAATGAGAATCTATTCGCCATTTGACAGACGCTAATTACATGGCGCCGAGAATACCACGTCTTACTGAAAGTCCAAACTAAGGTGGAAATCGTCCTATCAAATAGAAAGGGATTGTCACAAGGAATACATATACACAAGTGAAATTTTAAAGCCATATCTTCAACTAATGAAAAGTAACAGACGGAATTAAAGTTTTTTGTAGGCAAACAGAAACAGGGCAAAATCTATACCCCCACCCGATCTACAAATACAGGGGCATAAAAATCATTCTGCATAATACAACATATGAGTGTATGGCGATATTTGTATATCTGGGGGCCAAAAAACTTAGACGAGCTCACTTTTGATCTCAGCATCACTTTTACCAAAGGAAAGTGTAGTGGAAACGTGAGATTGAGATCGAAAGTGAGCCCGTCTTAGTTTTATGGCCTCCAGGCCGGATGTCTACCAATAGATATTAATCTTGCTGTGCTCTAAAAATCCATAATGGGGATCATTTTTCTTTCGAAAACAAGGTGTTTTGAAGAAAAAAATGTTTTGTTGTTCATTACGCCCTTCAGACAAGCTGGTAATCCGTCAGACAAGCTGATACTCCGTGTCAAGGACTTTTAACATGCAACCTGCTTAAAATGTCATCTTGATCTGCTTTATTTTGCAATTATTGTTTAGTAAACAAGAGTGGAGGAAGGGTGGCGAGGCGAATTTTAATTCAGGCTGAGTGTTAGAAATGTACATTTAAATATTCATTATACCTTTCAAAGACTTGTCGTGTACATACAATGGTAACCTACCGTTAACTATAGCATACAGGGTTATACTAGCACATGCAACATCATTATCATATCATCTATATACACAAATGTTTTCAAGTGTCCTTCCTTAAAAGTTTCTTTAAGAGGGACTAAACTAATCCTCACAGGAATATGATAAAAAGTATTATGCAACAACTAAAAATAGCTTTGGTAAATTACAGTACAAGCACAAATATTTCATTTAAACTAAAGGGAGACACAATTGAAGCTTTAATTAAGTGCGTGCGTAGAATGACTTTGTGACATTTTCATTCAGTATGAAGAAGTGGGAAAAAAAGTCGACCTACAATGTATCTTATGCTAGTAACATATAATTATTATGCTTTTCAATCTCATTCATAAACTCTTATAATTATGCAGTCTTTTGTAAAAAAAAAAATGAATTGCTGGTTGCATTCTACATCTACATGCATGGGAGGTTTTATTTTGATAATACTACTACATGTAATTGCTCCATCGGTTCATCATGTTATAGTTTAGTAATTTCTGATCAGCGGTTACTGTGTAGCGCGGGTTATTATGGTTGGTAAGAATTATTGCAAGTCCTCTGCAATGGCTTCAAATGGCTGTTTGTCTGTCCCTCCTCTTCTAGACACTGCCTTCTGTAAAATAAGAACATAAACATCAAGGATGCTGAATGTTTTAGTGGTCACGTGATTTTTAAAAAAAAAATATATCATTGTCGCCTCTAAAAATATGGGGCGAATATAAGCATGATTGTGATACATCTTTTTAGCAAAATAAACAGTTTTATGGCTTTGAACAACCATTGCAGTCATGTTTACTATATACATGTATTTTAACCCGCTTTTAACCCGAATTTACGCAATGAATGGTAGTGTTGATTTTACAAAAACCTGCATTATTAATGTTATAATTGAAGGTTACCTGAACTCTTCTCTCCGTACAAATGTCGAAGACCAACAAACAAACAGAAAGAACGATTCCTATGGCTAGTAGAATATATGCACTTCCAACTTTATCCATACCCAGAGCACTGCCCTTAAAAAGATACCCCGACTCATCTTTCGTGCTGTCAAAAGACCTTATGTACTGCAAATAATCGTCATCGAAATCCGTATCACAGACCTTGTCCTTATTTAGCCATTCATCTGTTAATTCTTGTAGCACACCATCAGTTTTCAGTTGAATGATGGCGACATCTAGATCTCTGCATTTGCTGTTGCTTTTGGAACATGCAAAAGAAAATGATCTACGAATAAAAGAATGGTGAACAAGCATTAGATCACACGGCAACTTTCCTGCATGTAGCCTAGCTTCTAGCTCTTCCATGATAAACGCATAATAGCCATTGCTGTTTCGAACTTTGCTTATTCCCTCTGCTGTACTACCGACCATTTGATCTGGATTGTTTTTCAAATGTTCTCCAATTCTGGTATCCACCTTATCCACAGCGCTTGTGAAGTATCTATAAGTGGACCCTCCTTTAATTGTTCCAAATTTCACAGATGATTGTTTCGACAGCTCAGAAAATGAATGGAACGGAGACTCTGGAAGTTGTCGCTTCCCTTCCATAATGAATACAGCAAAGGCTGATGCCCAGGTGGCGTACAAAATGATAAGAAACAAAGACCAAAAGCCAAGTATCACTCTCGAGGCCCTGGAGGTAGATTTGGATGGCGCAAGACTTCCTACAATATTGGCGTAATTAAAGTTCTGCATACAGTTTAGTCCCTTTGTCATTTATAATTCAAATGATTCGAACCATTTGAAAATACCTACAATTTTAATTGTTATCGACAAATATCAAAATTATTTTTTCTAGGATAATATAATTTGAATACGAGTATGTGATGATCAGAAATAATTAAAGCTGATGTTTTTAGTAGAGATAAGGTGATAATTATTCACTCACTGGCCAAAACAAATCAAGAGCTAAATGGAAAAGTAAATGTATCTGTACGTGTGAAGAACGCCGAAATGTGTTTTTCACTTTAGCTAGTTTGGGGGTATACTTTACACCGACTTAAACCTTGTAAACAGAATCTGTAGAAGACAACAGGAACCGCTTTGGCGATGTTCTTCAGCAATGTCGTATCGGCTTCATCTTCCATGGGGTCAAAACTGACAAAACAGATCGTAGAAATAATCTCACATGACAAGATCAAAACACTGTTGCGTGCATTTCCAGCTTTAGAATTATCATTGATGTTTTTAGGTGTAAAATTTGCGTTTTGTACTTACTGCATAATAAGGCCGTATAAAATTGGCATGATTACACAGGAGACGAGCAGGGAGATCCAGACTCCGGTTGTGAAGGGCTGCAGAAAGGAAACAAATCCCGTTATGGCCTGCCATCCCCTCGCACTGGGTCGCTTAAGGACAATGGACATTCCTGATTCCATGAAGGGATGCGAAAAGTCGACGACGGTTGCTCGCTCTGCCGTCACGGTAAGGCGCGCTGCAGCAATATCTGCTTGCTACAAAGAAAAATGTAAACTTTTTGCTTCGCACTTTTATTTCCCAACTCTTGTCAGAGAAAAACCTCCATCATTTATTTGGTATAAGTTGTATTTTGAGCATAATGACAAAAAAGAGTACATATAATTGTTTAACTATATGATTAAATGATAAGTATGCGAAATCGACATCACGTCATCTTTCTTGGTTGTGACGTCTGCTGAGGTCTCATCGGACGAACGCTCTAGAAAGACAGAGGACGACCAAAATATTCAAAACTAATCGTATTACTACTATGGAATTTCCTGACCTATACTGTTGAAGCAACCAATAAGCAATGGTCATTTTGACCTAATAGGTCGAGTTGAAACAATTTGATAATTTCTGGAATATTTTAAGCCAACCAGATGAAGCGCTAGGAATCGTTGAAACAGTTGTGTATAGTACTAATCATAAAGATGTATCCTGTACATGTAGCCGTTTCATCAAAAATCGTAAATTAAAGACTTAGATGTACTTCCAGGGCTTACACCAAAATTAAGTCGGGCGTAATTTGCGTTTCACCATGTGGCGTAAGTCTAGTCGTCAAGGATATGCTTAGTCGCAGAACTAAGTTATAAGTCCTAGACAATGTTGTATTGCGCATGTTTAGACCCATCTGTTGGGGAAGGCGGGGATCGTATAAACCGTAATCCCGAGTGGCAGTAGAGGTTGGAATGAAAAAAAGAGTGACCGAGTTCAGGTTTTTGCAGCCTTAATCCACCAATAGATATGTTCCAGTGTAAGAAACATATCGTCGAAGTAAAGCAAGCAACCAAATAAATATAAGTATATGTATGTTGAATGGAATCTTACCCCATTCTTTAGCTCTCCTATCATACCAGTCCAGTTTCCATCCTTATCCTGATGACCATACTTGTTATCTCGTACATGTTTTATGTCAAAGGTAACACCAAGAATTGGTTCTATCCTCTTCAACAAATCGGGGATGAGTCCTTGAAATTCTGAGGGATTTCCATCCTTTAGTGTTATAAAAGGTTTATCCTAAAAAAAACCAAAGTTAGTTTTTTATGTCTTTAAAAATAAACTTTAGGAGGTCCTGGCTTTTACAGTGTACATGTAGTCGTCTTATCTTGTTGATTAATTGTGTACATCATCGGCAGCAATTTAATTAAAATTAGAGATTAGATCCGCTCGCATACGTGTTACACTAACTAGAGCTAGTTAGTAACGAGTATGCCAGCGGATCTAACATTTAATTTTAATTACTAGTAGATTGCGTCGGCTCTAAATACATTACTTACTCAATCTTGATAACAATTAAGTTCATAACTGAATACATGCACATGCTTGTATGAACTTAATTAGGTATGAAAAGGAAGCATACAGTCCCGTTTTTTTCCTTCCGTTTAGGACACATACATGTAAGCGAGACAGTACAGTAAACCAACTTTTAATCGCGATGACTCTATTTCGCGATTTGACAGGGATAAACTAGTTTGCGACAATTAATTTTCACGATCAAGCCTTTTTGGGATGCTATTAGACACATACACTTTAAGGACCGGTTCGCGGCAAGAAATAATCGCGATGACGAAGCTCTCGCGAACTTCGCGAAAATTTCTCACAAGCGAATAAAACTGGGTTTATAGTATATGGGTGGTTAAAAATGAAAAGACAAACAGATCTTGACGACTCTCTGTAATAAAGGCTTCGAGTAAATAATGCAGAATTGGCGAAACAAAATATTTAGATATTTTATGGTGTACAGTCACGGGAACCATTAAGAAGGATCGTGCTAATTTATATGAATATCCAAAGCTACCTGAGATATCTCATGTAGAATGCTATATATAGTTATGGGTGTAAATCTCGCCTAAACCGTGCGTTTTCTTAAAGTTTGAATTACATTCCTTGATTTGATAGAAGCAAAATAAAGACTTATGGTATGTTAATTGTAGGACATTAAATTTAACGAGGATTTCTGATTTGTTTTGTCATCATTTTAGCTCACCTCAAAGAAGTGCGGGGAGCTTACATGTATGTGATACCCCCAGCTCCGGTGTCCTAGGTTAAGGTTAAGGGTTTTGGAGCAGTTTTCTTTTTAAAGACTTCTAAGCCCTATATTGATTATACATGTATGGTAGATGCTTCTAGTTTGTTTCAAGGTATTAGAGGCTGCAATTTCAGCAAAGGGATGATCAGGTTAATGTTTTGGAGCAGTTTAACATGTTTGGTGCAGTTTTTGGTGTAGGCCTCGTTTCCAAGTACTACACTGAAAGAAAAACCGAGTGAATTTAACTAGTGTGTTTCGTAAAGCGTTGGTCGTGATTAGTAAACTTTCAGTTTACTGGTTAAGATAGTGAGTTGTGGAGCGGGGGTCGTATAGATACTTAGATACCTAGTGAAAATTACTTATCAATTCTAAATTTACTAATCTTATCTAGTAAATATACCAATATCTGGTAAAACTACTATTAAGGTAGTGATTGTATGGACAGTGAATCTACTAGTTTTCTTCGTGACATTAACTAGTTATTTTTTTTACAGTGTAGTAACTAACACCCTATGTCGACCAAACTGGCATGAATGATACATCTAAGGATGCACACTACCAGGTTTGCTTTGGATGCTGAATCTGATTTACAATTTCCGGATGAGGGATATTAAAGTTTTTCAGTCTAGGTTTCATTTCCAAGTAACTGTGAGCCCTTGAAGGACCAAACTTGTATGGATGATACATCTAAGGATGCATACTACCAGACTTGCTTCGGATGCTGAATCTGATCTACCTGAATACAATTTTCATGTGGATTCCCTAACTAAAACACTTGAACACGAGTATAGTTATTATGTAAAAATGTTTTGTCCATTTAAATGCAGAGGAGATGCTGCTCGTTTCCTTAAAATTGAAGCGCTGGTGTTCTGAACTTGACACAAACTAGTACATTTTATTAAATATAATTATTTCTAGTTAACAACAAATTAAAACGCATAATATTTTTTATAGTTTCTAATCTTTGTATTTTGTTCATAAGAATTTTTTTTTTTATTATGCACTTCAATGACATGATCATAGATTGACCTGAAACACGTGTTCGAAGTAAAATGTAAACATGTATTTGGCGTAAACTTTTCAACGAATGGTTAGTGCTCGTGGTAAGTTGGTAAGATTGTATTAATAACCAATCAGTGTAAATAATACTAGTATTACACATTTTTTACCAGCGTATTGGTCGCTAGTGAGCTCTAAATTTCGCCGTAAATTAAGATAAGATATTACAGTCCCTGAAACGTTCTACTTTCCCATTTCTCCATTCGCTCACCGTTCTTTCAGCGTTCGTTCACCGTTCGTTCAGCGTGCGTTCACCGTTCTCGCTCTCCGTTCGCAGTTTTGCGTTCACCGTTCACCGTGCGCTCGCGTTCACCGTTCACTCTTCGTTCCGTTTACTTTGCGTTCACCTTGCGTTCACCGTTCACTTATCGTTCAGTCTTCATTGTCATTCGGAGCTCAGGAGTGGAAGGACTTATCTTTTTGATGGTAAGGATTTACACGTTTTTTAATTAAAGTGGCACAGTGACGCACAAGGGGGAAAATTGACAAATGTAGAATTTTCGCATGACCTCTGTAAATTTTGTTCAATTCCTTAAAGTATTAGGTTTCAGAAAATTACAGGTTTCATGCAGAACCTAAGAATTAAAATTTTATGGGGAAAAATAAAAGTAAAAATAATTTCTGTCTGCCCCAGAACGAAAATATTGCAAAATACCCTGGTACTTCTTCCTTCCTATCATACGCGTGCGCAGAAAAGTGTTTAATAAGTTTCCATAGTTACCATGGTCTCAGATATCCACGAATGAATATAAGTAAACCAAAAAATTTGATGCAATCTTTTTAAAAAGTTGTTAGAACATATTTCTCACCTTTGCATGCTCCAGTTGAATTTTGTTTACAAGTTTGAGCTAAAAATAAGAGTAGCGTGACCTTGACATATACGAAACAACGAAACGGTTAATACAACCTTTGTTTTTCCGGCACTTATATTGTGCAGTCAATTCTTGCATTTGAATTGTCATATCTTCGCTATATACTCATAATTTTCGTAAGTCTTTCTCTGTATGCTACAGAATCTTAAAATTAAGATATGATTTTGACTGACTGTGCCGCTTTAAATAACTAAGATATCGTGTTTGAAGAATAATTATTTAATTGCAAAAAGTATCTACTATATTTATATTTCTATTATTATAACTTAGCTGTTACTTTATCCATGAAATTTCCCTAGAAAATAATCCATTAAGTACCTACATGTATGTAGAACGATGCCAAAATATTAAATTTAAATAAGGGCAATGCACAAATGCTTCAAGCACGGCAACATTTTGTTGTAATGTAAAAGACAACAAATCGTTAATGGATGGATAATAACCCAAGTCTTTTACAAGACAAGAATACACACAAAAAAATATTTCTAACACGTATTAAAAAAAAATGCTCGAAAACATATTAGAACTACATGTAGGTCTGAGAATTATGAACAGTACTGCAGGTATTCAGTTAATTAAATATCTTTAGAGCTAATTAAATTGATAGTGTGATTTTAAATCTTAGAAAAGACCAACTGTTTAAAATGTAATACATTAGAATTTTTTTCTACTTTACGTTAAGTCTATTATTAGACAATTCCTTCCTTCACCGTACCTAAATATATGTTTGATTAAAAGTCCCCCCCCCCCCCCCCCCGGAGCCTTTTCTCCCGAAATCAAATTCTTAGTATTTTCAGCATATTTTAATTAATATTGAAAATCAGTCTTAAAACGAACATCAAAACAGTCATTAAACAATAGTATTTCAAAATATACATGTGCCGACAATATAGTATTTCTAACTGGCAGGGAATATGTTTCAAATTCAATTTCAAACTTAATCCTGCAAGGTATATATTCCCATTATTTTTTTTCTGCAGAAATGCGAAAATCAGATCTAGAAATGATAGGAAAAAATATTCAAACTTCTTGGAAATACTAAGTGACTCTTTGCCTTCGGCAAATTCGGTGAAACGAGATTTCCACACCTCCACTGTGTCGAATGATTTTGATTGACAGGACACGCACGTGGACTTCCTGTGAACGTGTGAACTAGAAGATGGAAAATAAAAGCCGATGAATACTGTCAAATGGATTTGTTAATCTTAAAAAATAGATTACTTTTACTGCTTGGAAAATTTAGGAAAAATAATAAGAATTTTTATTTGATACAACAGATATCTGAAAATGAAGGGGGTATCTCTCTCTCTCTCTCTCTCTCTCTCTCTCTCTCTCTCTCTCTCTCTCTCTCTCTCTCTCTCTCTCTCTCTCTCTCTCTCTCGTACATTTCTCTGTTCAATAAAATCTATGACAGCACATTACTAATTTAGTTTTGAAAATTTAATCTATAACAAATAATTTGATTGCCTCTTTCCATCATCTTGTCCGAGTATAATCACAGCCAGGAAATATCTACAGATATACATGTAGAAGTTAGCTAAAATAATCATCATAAAAGAACAAAAAACACCTAAATTTTTAATATTTTGCATTAGAATTTTAAAATACGAGTGTATTTACGCAATACGTCAACAGACATTTGTATATTTAAAAAAAAAACCGTTATTTTACTCAGAATCGCCTTGGCACGGAAATACATGTATGGTTGTTTCAACCGGGTACAGTGTAATTAATTCATTCTATAAGTAGTAGTTTTATCTTCTACAGTCCACATTATTTTATTAGTTAGAAGAATAAGCATATTCACTATATAAGTAGATACTGTAATTTTATATCTATACTACACGCATTCAGTAACAAATACACATGTTTTACGGCAATTAAAATCGTGTTATCAAAATATCGGTTTAAAACATATGTATGTGCAAAAAAAAATTGTTTTTATTATTTATTTATCTATTGTTTGTTTATATTCTAGCGCCTGAAATTAGAATTATAGAATAATTTCAACACAAGGAAAAGATCGAAGGCATTCCTAATAAATCATTCATCTTGCGTTCACCGTTCGTTCACCGTTCACTTTGCGCTCGCGTTCGCGCTCCGTTTGCGTTCTGCGTTCACTCATCGTTAAACGTTCACACATCGTTCACCAAGTTGCGTTCAGCGTTCGCACATCGTTCACTCACCGTGTATTCCGAATAAATCGTTCATCTTCCGTTCACCGTTCGTTCACCATTCACTTTGCGCTCGCGTTCGCGCTCCGTTCGCGTTCTGCGTTCACTCACCGTTCACACATCGTTCACCAAGTTGCGTTCAGCGTTTGCACATCGTTCACTCACCGTTCGCTCTGCGTTCGTTCATCGTTCGTTCACCATTCGTTCAGCGTTCGTTCACTGTTCAGGTGGGAAAGTAGAATGTTTCAGGGACTGTATTATTTTAAATAGGGTCTTTAGCCACCCTTTTCTGTTGAAAATTATAAAAGTTTCTCAAAATAGTTTTCACAGGACATGTTTTCAAAAGAAACAGACTAGAATAATTTCCTGTTATTTAAAAAACCGGTTCTACCCTATAAATTTTGAATAGGTCAACCTAAACCACGTCTCTTTAATTTAAATCACAATAACAATAGCAGGGTTGGTACAACAAACGAGGTAAACATTGACAGCACATTCATTACGTAATATGGTAATCGGAAACCATGGATACAAAGTTTGATAAAATGTAAATTTGCTTTATCTTAATAAGCTTCAAATTTCAGTAAACATCTTTTTGGCTGTTAATATTGGTCGAATGTATAGAAGTTGCTATAAGACAGCAACTGAATCAAACAAAATAATAAAAGCATTCAATTTTTGTATGTACAAGTTGTATGTCACTTTCATCTGTAGTCCCAGTTGCCGGTAATAGGGTGTGAAAAAGGTATTTCATTACAAGGTAAAGCAATGAGGACATATTGAAGTTTAAACATACACTGTACATCCATTTGTATTTCAGCCTATTGCTATGCTGCACGTTGTAGTTGACAAATAACAGGAAGAAAAGAGATTCTAAGTACATATAAATACGACAAAAATTGATTTAATTACTTACCAATCTCGTGGTGACTCTGTACACCGTTTTTTCCTGAAATCAACAGAACCATTTGAAAATTGTGTCTAGGCATATAGATTGAAACGGGTAAAAAAGCTGTAAAAATATATTTTTTGCAACAAGACAAGTAAGATAAAAACTCACTGAAGACGTGGACATAAAACCCAGCAACAGAAACAGACACAAAATCTGGATCTTCATAGTTACAGCAATGGCAATGCTAGAGCGGATCTTAAACAGTGACTGCACCCAGGGTGCATGGAAAATAGGACACTGGCTTTATATTTTAAATGTGCGACAGACACTTTAAACCTTTATTCTTCAAAGAAAAAAGTGCACTGCATTGTAATGCAGGCGGTGCAGAAGGTCGAGAAGAGCCATACATTTTTAACCATTACAAAATTTTGGCTGGGAGAACATAAACCGAATATTTTCTGCTAAAGTGTACAAGTTTGGCTTTTAAAAAAAGCTTAGAGAGTCAGCCAGAGGATTTTTCTTCTCTGTGATAATGTTTTAATTAAAAAATAATACGGAAAGGAAAAAAAATGCTTTCAACATTTTTTATCATTAGCAGAATTGGCTGCTGTAAAAAACCTCGTCGTAACAGTTTTCCGCATAGGAACAAAAGCCTTGGTGCATGCAGATTCCATTGCATTTTTGTCTCTTAATCAAAAGAACAGAAAGTTTGATTTTAATTTAAGTTCAAATTCACAAAACATAGTAATTCCATGAAGTTATAAATCAAGCTCATTAATTATAGGATTTATAAGGTTTTACGAGGGGTGGGGGGGTATTAACATTATGGCAGTATTAACAATCCCACGGCCTTCAAACGGGACCTCATAGGCTTCACTATCACCCCTGTTAGAGTATGTCATGTCGCAGGATGAATCACTCAGGGCTACTGTGTTTAGTCAATGGAGACACCTTTGTCCCTGCGATACCGTAACAACCATACTAAACCCTTAAAGATCTCTAACTATAACGCAACAAAACTATGAATTTCTAAATCTGATTGCCACAACCTAAATGGTCTCACTAAATGAAAAAAAAAAAACAAGCTATATTACAGAGAATCTGCGTCTTCCACTTAGAGAGAAAAGAAAAGCATGCGCAGATCTTAGGGTGCATCTCAAGAAAGACGGGCGGAGCCATAGGAAGTTATAGATAAAATTTAGTTTTTTAGATATTGACTGGAAATGAAAGTTTTACACAAAGTCACGAAAAAAAAGAAATAGGGGTCTTCCTTTCGCCATAGGTAGTTGTTGTATAAAATTTCTTTTCAAAAGCTTAAAGGCTTATCGAAATATTGCGTGGAAACAAAGTTTTAAATCAGATAGAGTTTTGAATTTATAACCTTGATCTTTTGACCCCAAAATCAATAGAAGTCGTCCATAGGCCATATGTAGTGAGTTGTGTAAAATTTCACTGCAAAAACTCAAAGGCTTCTAGAGATATTGCAGGGAAATGAAAGTGTTGTAGACAGACAGAACTACAGACAGACGGACGGAATGACAGACAAACCAAAATTAATATCCATTCCTCCACTTTCAGCGGGGGACAACAAATGAGCAAGCTCAGTCAGTTGTGTCTCTTTTCGAAGTATCCGTTGTATGCATTAATAAATCAGTTCGCTAATTGGCATCGGGATCGAAATGATTTAATGAAAACGAAAGTAAACCAGTAAAGAGGAAAAACTGATTAACTTCAAAATCTGTAATCATAGACATAAATCAAATGCTGTAATAAACCAAAGGTTATGGTGTAGAATTTAATACATAAGTAAAATACCCTCAATATGCTTTTCAAAAGATCTCCAATTGTTGCGTCAAACACTTCATGAAATAAATTCATACAACTGTATGCTTCGCTGCGTAGATCCGATGAGAACCAGTCAAATTTCTGCGAGCCAGGATTAAAAAAATGTCTAGAACTGTTTACGAAGCTTCTGTAAATAAATAGGTATGGCCTTCCTGTTTGAGTTGAATTTAAATTTACAGATTACAGTGGTGTTAAATAGGGATTTCTTGGTTTAATCTATAC